GACATCCTGCAATATCCCATTTATAAACAGTGATAGCACCATTTTTAATCAGGGAAGAGGGAGCCTAAATGGTGGGGGGGAAGGGGGAGGGGCACATGTGGGTACATGTGTGTAGTGAACAGTACATAAGACTGGACAGGAGAAAAATGAAATTCTTAGTTGGAAATTCATCTCCCAGGTGATTCTGCCAAGAAGGGAAAAGTTCCTTTAAGGAAGCACTGCCAAGGAATCTCACAGAATCACTATCAGTAAGTCGGGTCACCCTTAAATTTATTGACACCATTACAGAAACATCAACTGGAGAATTCACACTGGGAACGTAGTCCACAGTATCCTTCAACAACCCATACATGAAGTCTTGCAGGATGTCTTTTAGAATTGCGTAAGATGAAAAATCCCTCCAAGGCAAGATGATATTCTTCCATTTTTCCAGTCATGATAGCTATAAAATAGCATACCCATTTTTATGCCTTGACAGAGAGTTAAAAATTGTTGCATTTTCTATTTTTTTTCCTTCCTAGTTTACCCAGTTTTGAACCATACTGTTAATATTCATTGGCTAGGTGACCTTGGGTGAATTATTTAACTTCTCTATGCCTTGTCTTTCTGTGTTTACAAAGTGTGGTTCATAATACCAACCTTTTGGGGTTGTTCTCAAAACTACAGGAGACAACAATTGTAAAGTGCTCGAACACAGCCTGGTGCATTGTGAGAATCCCAGAATGATTACCTATTAATAGTCACGTCTATTTTATTCGGAACATGTTTTATGATAAAAGCCACCTTGGATTCTTTTAAAAATGAAGTTATAAATAAGTATGCTTAACTACAAGCCTCAATATGAATATGATATTTCCATCCAGAAATAAAACTGCCCCACTGCACACTTTATTATTGAGATGGATTCCACCTGGAATGCCTGCTCCAAGCTAGCAGCCATTCTTCAAGGCATATATTAACTTACTTGTTCTTCTAAAAGCTGTTATCTGACCTAAAGTCAACATGATACTCATGATACGCCCTGCCATCCCACAATGGGCCCTCCCCAACTCACTACATGGCACTTCCATCCATCCAAGAATCCAGACCCTCTTATTAGTGTTGGGTCATCCCTCACACCCAGTCAGCTGATTGATTCTACCTCTTTCCTCAATCGGTCTTCAATCATTTACTTGTCGTTCTCAACCACAATTTCACCTGAGGCCACTTCCTGTTTTGGGTGAGCAGTGCCGTCATGCCCCTCTCCTCCCTGTCCCTCTCACAGCCCAAGCCCACCCACTTTATGTCTCTCCTTAAACAGCATTCTCTCTCCTAGCCATCTCAGCGTCAATATGCTCTCCTATAGAGCAGTAATCAAATTTTAGTAACTGTTTAACTCAGTTTTTCACGGTCTCCTCAACTGGAACGTAAGTGGGGACATCGTGAAGGCAGGGTCTTTGTCTTAACTGTTTACTGCTAGATTCACAGGAGTACCACTGCTTTGCACACAGGTAATTTTTTTTTTTTAACCTAAAGTTTACCATCTTAACCATTTTTTAGTATACAGTTGAGCAATGCTATACAACAGATTCTGAAATACTTTCATTTTATAAAACTGAAACTCTATTCCCATTGAATGATTGCTCCCCATTTTCCCTGTGCCCCAGTCCCTGGCAACACCATTCTACTTTTTGTTTCCATGAACTTGATTATGGATACTTCACTTAAGTGGAATCACAGTGCTTGTCCTTTCGTGACTGGTTTATTTCACTTAATATAATGTCCTCTAGCTTCCTCCTGTGACAGGATTTCCTTCTTTAAGGCTCAATAATATTCCATTCACCACATTTTGTATGGACAACGTTTTGTTTATCCAATTCATTCACTGATGGACACTGGATTGCTTCCACCTCTTGGCTGTTGTGAGTAATGTCACAATGAACATGTGTGTGCAAATATCTCTTCAAGATGCTACTTTCAATACTTTTGGATATACACCCAGAAGTGGGATTGTTAGATGATATAATTTCTAATATTTTGAGTAACCTCTGTACTATTTTCCATTATAGCTGCACCATTTTACATTCCCACCACCAGTGCTCAAGGATTCCAATTTTTTCATATCCTCACTAACTCTTCTTTTGTTTTCTTGCTGGTGGCCACGCTAATGGGTGTGAGATGGCACAAAGTCACTATTTAATAGATATTTGTTAATGTCTAGATAGACGGAGGCCACAAAGATAAAAAAGTATGGTCTCTGCCCTCAAGAAGTTCCTAGAGTAACAGTAAGAAAGACTGATATAAATAAGGTTTGTGCTCAATGTCTAGATAACAGATGGAAGAAACATCAACTCCCCTTGAGTTGGGAGCTGGAGGGATGGTGGTAGTAAATGGTCAAGGAAACTCTCATAGGGCAGGATACTTAAATGTTAAGTAGGCACTCAGATACAAAAAAGAATGGGAAGGGCATTCCAAAGGTAAAGAATAATATGTTCAAGCAGATATAGTATGGACCAACAAGGCTCCTGTTAGGAGAGAAATCTGGTGTGGACTGAATCCAGACCGTATGTGAGAGGTTACTGGAAAATGAAACGAAAGTGGAGCCTTGTAAGCCATACTAAGAGGATTAGGTTGTATCCAGTAAATGGTGTTACGCCAGGGAGAGCCAAGATCCAATGTGCACTTCAGAGAACTCAATCTAGCAGCAGTGTGAAGGAAGCATCACCATAGGGGCCTGGGGCCAGGCAGTTAATCCACATAGGAGGCTAACAAAATGGTCAAAGCAAGAGAGGACAGGGACCTAAACCAAAGCAAAACTGTGGACAGAGAGAACCAAGAGAAGGATGTTAGTGGGTAGAAAAGACAGAGCTTTTTGACTGATAAGCAATGGAAGGAGGTGGAAGGAGGTGGAAGGAATCTCTACCTAACTCTTCAGGGAACAGATGAAGTTTAAGGGGCAGATGCCAGCTTGCTTGGAGACAATGGACTGCAGTGCAGTGTCCAGTAGGCAGCTAAATAGGAGTCAAAGATTCAGGTCAAAGATATGGATTAGACACATATATTGGAAGTTGTAAAAATAAAAACTAGTGAATCCTAGCTAAATACCACTCTTTCTTATGTAAATCTAGTGTTGCAGACATACCAGATGTCTTTATGTAGCATATCCTGTTTCTACTAACAGAACGTGTTTTTCTGCATATTTTACAACATGCTAAATGGTTTCCCTTTTTCCACACGGCTTAAATGCTTTTATGAATCTCCCCATATGTAGTCTCAGAAAAAGTGGATAATGATAGCCAATTCCCATCACTTTCTCTTTTATAGCTTTGCGGACCAGCAGAAGGCCCATGGTTGGAAACATTATCAAGACCACTTTTAATTTCAAGTCTAAAAAGAGCAACTAGTTTATTTAGTTGAATATCTAATTTGTTATTACTTCTGAAAAAAGTATTCTAAACAGAATTCTAGTAAGAATACTCACATACTATTCTGTAGGCAGGCATCCAATTTAATAGTCTTTGGCTTAAATGTGGAATTAAACCAATTAGGTATCAAGACTTTAAAAACTAAGCCAACTGAGAAACTTTAATTTATAGATAATTATCACCCTTAGTACCCTGTATTTCATTACCAGGACATAAAACAATGACAGCATGTGGGCAAATAACTTCACAGCCTATGTTCATCTACTATGTTGTGTTCTATTGACTGTGACGTAAAATGTCAGATGCTGGAAAGTACCTCCTTTGACTGTGACCAAACGCTCTGGGCATCCTCAGACAGAATGATCACAGTGAGTCTGTCCACAATCTAACAGACTTGAGAGGGCTTTGCTCTAGGGTGCCAGAGGACCAAACCTTTACTCTCCACTCCTACACTCAAGCATCTTCTCTACCATTAGTCAAAGTGAAGTAGAGAAGGAACAGTCCTTTCTTGACAATGAGGAAAGTGCTAGAGACTGAATGTTTGTCCTCCCCTCCCCCACTCATACCTTGAAACCTAATCCCCAATGTGATAGTATTTGGAGGTGGGGCCTTTAGGAGGTGATGAGATCATGAAGGTGGAACCCTCATGGATGGGAGTAGCATCCTTATAAAAGAGGCTCAGAGAGCTGCCTGTCCCTTCTGCCATGTGAGGTTACAGAAGGCACTACCTTTATGAACCAAGAAGTGGGCCGTCACCAGACACAGAACCTGCTGGTATCTTGATCGTGGACTGCCCAGCCTTCCGGTGTTGTTTCGCAACCACTCACTCTATGGTACTTTGTTAGAAATGCCTAAATTGACTAAGACAGAAGGCTGCAGGTTAATTCTGGTTAATTGCCAGAATGAATTAATCTCTCTCTCTTTAATTCACATATGAAACTGAAAAGTCCTGACGGTCCCTGGAATTGGCATTAAGCATTTAAAGGATTCTGATGCTCCTGCTTAGTGTCTTGGGAAACTCTTGGAGCACAGCAATCTCAACACACTTGATGTCAGGCAGATTTGCACTGGGTCCTGGCAGCTCATATCTACCCAACCTGTGTCCAGATGGGCACCACCTCCTTTTTTGCCCTCAGTAATCCAAAACAGGGCAAGGAACACATTCACTCCACATGGCCACCACAGTCTGTACAGCAAGGCAAACGCTCTCTCCCCAGCCTCCAAGGTAAGTACGTTCCTTCTAAGATGCTTCCTTCCCTGTTTTAGGCATGCTTAACTCCCAGCATACAGGTGAATTCAAGAGCTAAAAATTCAACATAAAACATTTTAAATCAGTTCTTTTAGGCTCTAATAATTAACACAGGATGAGACATCCCATTCTGTCTGCTTATAGTATTAGTGGAAAAGCATATACACTCACACAGTGGCAAAAAGTTATAGGTGATTCTCTCTATACAAGGTTTTAGTATTTAGCAAATTTCTACAATATAAAATGTGTCAAAATATTAAAGCTAAAATTTTATACCACTTGAGGAAAAAAATACAGTATTTTCCTAAAAAGAAACAAACAAACAAACTTGAAATCATTTCACTTACTTTCTGCTCAGGGCTTTCCTGAAATAAAAGTCCAAAATAGTCCTTTTCCAAGAGATTGAGATGTTCGCACACTTTGTCAAATAACACTTGTCCCTTCGCACATTTCTGAGGGAAAAGAAATGACATCTTTACTTTTCAAGCACTAAAGATTCCATGAGTACTACAAATAAAGGACTTCACATCAGATAATATTATTTAGCATAATATATTTGTTTTCTAATCTCTTATAATACAAGAGTGATTAATAACCTTTTCACTTTAGAATCCTTCCTCCTCCCTACACAAGGCATACATTCTAAAATGAAAGCGTGATCAAATGCTTTACTTGCTACTCTATGAAAATATAAAACAGAATCAAAAAGTAAGATGCTAGGAGTTCACTTATTTTTATAATAGTACAAAAACAGAGACACCTGGGTGGCTTAGTTGATTAAGCATCCAACTTGGGCTCAGGTCATGATCTCGCAGTTTATGTGTTTGAGCCCTGTGTCAGGCTCTCTGTCAGCTCAGAGCCTGAAGCCTGTTTTGGATTCTGTGTCTCCCTCTCTCTCTCCCTCTGCCCCTCTCCCACTTGTGCTCTCTCTCTAAAATAAGTAAACTTAAAAAATAAAGTAGTACAAACTGCCTCCCTCAAAATTCCTCAAGGTGGCTTATATTATATTTGTGAAATATACTCCCCCAGGAAAATCATTTAGCCCTATTCTTCAGTGGATCCTAACATGATTTATCCCATCAGTACTTAGGCTTTTTTGTTCCACAATTTGTAGAATAGAAAAAAAAAATTATTTTTCAATTCAAGCTATGCTTTTTCTCAAGAATGACAGGACATTCTTCAGAACAATATTTTAAGATACAAGGGAATGGAACTAGGAGAATAAAATCAGTGGTCTCTAAGGGTGTATTTTGTCTTAAGTAGTTTGATGTATTTTGTTTAAGAAGCTGCTATCCAGAGATGTAAAAGCCTTGGACAGGCACTGAAGAAAAACTCATAGTCTAATCAATCAATGGCAAAACAAAGTGGTGACTCATTTCCAATGAAAACGCAGACCCCTGGGAACACTCAAACTGCGAGGTCAGGTCACACACATCCCTCCATCCCCTGCATAGCCAGAAGCTGGCCCCTGACTACAAGTGAAAACTGAACACGCCGTCAGACTTTTTCATTCTCAAGATGAATGTCCTAATGCCATCAAAATAGATACTTATTAGTTAATCCACTATGTGGAAAACTGAGGTATCCCACACATTTATCTTTAAAAATGGAATAAGAGGGGCACCCAGATGGCTCAGTTTGTTAAGCGTCCAACTCTTGATTTTGGCTTAGATCATGACCTCACAGTTCATCAGATCAAGCCCCACACTGGGCTCTGTGATCACAGCAGAGCTTGGGATTCTCTCTCTCCCTCTCTCCCCAAATAAATAAACGTTTAAAAACAGAACAAAAATGGAATAAAAGACATTTTAATTTCAAATGAGTACAACTCTGATAAGGAGTTTCAAAAGACGGTCTTCAGAAACTCAATGCAAGGGTCTGTTTTTCTCTCCTCTAACCTTTCTTCCTTCTCTTTGTGGGAGCAGAGGTGGAAAACTCATGCCTGAGAGACATGCAAAGGAGGATCTGGAACTTTCATTACTAAATGTTTTATAGTAATGTTTCTTTTAAAAAGAGGGGAGCAGAGCTAAGATGGCAGAGATATAAGGGGACAAGGATTTTCCTTGTCCCTCAAACACAGCTGTAATCAGATCACTTGAGACATCCAGGAAGTCAATCTGTGCAGTGGCAGAACGATCTCCACAGGTGGAGTGAGACCGCTTGGTGGGACAGAGGTGCATGTATGTGAAAACTGGGGGAGATAAATTTGCACGGGTATGGAGGGTACGGAACTCCTTCTGTGGAGAGACTAAAGAGAAAGAGAAAGAGAGAGGGGCTGTGAAATTGCAGTATCCAGTTAGCACAAGAGGCAAACCTCTCCAGACCACAGACTGGGGGACGAGAAATACGGTGAGTGCCAGTTTCTATTTTGCAAACAGCCTTAGGAGCTGAAACTCGGAGCTTTCTAAAGTGCACAACTTTCTCCAGACTGAAGCCAGAGCCCTGTGCACGCACCTGAGGGCAGAAGGAGCCAACCCTGGGGTGCAGTAGGATCTCAGGGGCACCCTCACAGAGAACAGTCCCTTTCCTCAAGCACTGTGGGAAGAAGGTTGATTGCCTCCCCCAGGGACAAAAGACTTTGCAGGCCCGAGCCAAAGGCCTTTATCAGCAGGGCAGAGTGGCGCTACCCCAGAGCAGGCTCTGTGAGGTGCAGGGCCCTTGAAGACACTGGGTTTTGAATCCCAGCTGAGTGCGTGGGAGAGAGCGGAGTAGGGCAAGTCAACCTATTCTGTGAGGGCTGCCTGAACAGCGTGGTTTGAGACACCTGGTCTGGGGAGCAGAGATTGGGGGGGTCGTCATTTTTCTCCCCATCACCAAAGGTGGGGCTTCAGGGAGCAACACGGCAGTCCCCCCGTGGAGGCGAGACCCGCTTATACCAAACCTGCCCTTCCGTGCCTGGTAACTGCACATCTACCCAAGTAAGATTGACACTGACCATACCAGACAGCCTCTCCTCCACCAGCACAGCCACAGCCCCAGGGACCAATAGCTGTGTTTTTTTTTTTAATTTTTCTTTGTCTTTTTGTTTCTACCCTCCTCTTTTTCTCTTTTGGAACCAGGCTCATAATTTTGGATTTGTTTTTGGTGAATTATATATACTAATACTAAATATACATACGTGTGTGTGTGTGCACGCGCGTGTGTGTGTACATTTGTTCAATCAGGCATTTTTCATTCTTTTTACACCTTTTCTATCCTTTATTTTCCTTTCTCTTTCTCTGGATTTAGCATTATAGTTTTTTTGATTCTCTGTTTGGTCTTCTGACCCCCACCCCCCCCCTTTCATTTTTCTCTTTTTATGGGATCAGGATTCCCCTTACCTTTTTCTTTTTTATTTTTTTTTATTTTTTTTCAACGTTTTTTATTTATTTTTGGGACAGAGAGAGACAGAGCATGAACAGGGGAGGGGCAGAGAGAGAGGGAGACACAGAATTCGAAACAGGCTCCAGGCTCCGAGCCATCAGCCCAGAGCCTGCCGCGGGGCTCGAACTCACGGACCGCGAGATCGTGACCTGGCTGAAGTCGGACGCTTAACCGACTGCGCCACCCAGGCGCCCCTCCCCTTACTTTTTTCTTTTTCCAGGGTGTCTTCAATGAACAAATCAAAGCACACCTGGTTGAAAGTCCAAACACTCCACCACTACAGGCGAGCAGTTTTCCAGAGGACTGACCAGTGGGACTGAGCAGCCAAAACGCAACAACAGGGTGCACACAACATACACCAAAAACACTTCCCGAAGTGCCAGGCCCTGAACGGTGTATGACGCCTTTTTAATGTAATAGTGCTCGCAGGTGCGGGACACAGAACAAGCTATTAAAACACGCAAAAGACAGAAACTTAGCCAAACTGACAAAATAGAAGAACACAATACAAAATCAAGACTTCTGAAAGCAGTTAGGGACAAACAGGCCTTAACCTACAAGGGTAGACACATAAGGGTGGTAGCAGACCTGTCCACTGACACTTGGCAGGCCAGAAGGGAGTGGCAGGAAACATTCAATGTGCTGAATAGGAAAAATCTGCAGCCAAGACTCCTTTATCCAGCAAGGCGGTCATTCAGAATAGGAGAGATAAAGGCTTTCCCAGACAAACAAAAACTAAGGAGTTCATGACCACTAAATCAGCCCTTCAAGAGATCCTAAGGGAGACTCTGTGAGTGGAAAGCAGTAAAAAATAAAAATAAAATGAATACATAGAATTATACTAAATAGCAGAGGAAAGAAGGTGAAAGCAACACAGATTATTTCAACACAGCAAGCACTGTACCTTCATTGTATCACTACAGATTCAGGAAAGTACTAAGGACATTTAAAATACGTATGTGTGTCTATGTCTGTATATTCAAAGTACATACTAATAGAGTATACTAAGGAAGAGTATTGAACTCTGGATTCCAAATGCCAAAGTTTTACATTCATTTCCATTACTAACAAATTATGTGACCAGGGACAAGATACTTCACTTCTATTTGCCTTACTTTGCACATCTGTGAAACAAGGGAATAAAATCTACCACAGACTGGAGTACCAAAAACTGTAATACAAAGTGCTTAGAACAGTATATGTGGCACATAGTGCTTCATCAATATTGGCTCCTATTGTTATAAGCTGGAGAGTTTTGTAACATGAAAAGTGATTAGTTTCACTTACATGGGATTTGGGCTTAAGCTTTTAAAATGAAAGCTTCTCAATTTCATTATTTGATCTACATGCAATTATTAACCTATATAATTAAAACTTTGAGTTTGGAGGTATTTTACAGTAACTTTATGAGGAGAAGGGAAGGCAAAGCAGACAGCTGGCTTTCTTAAATGTGCAGTGAAATCATG